AATTTGTAACAATAAATTTTTGCGTTGAGAAAAATAAATAATCAAGACTGAAAAATTGTGCAACAAATTTAGTATTTGATTTCAGTAAATAATGAGTGTTACAATCTCTATGGTATTCCTCTGATTCTTCAAGAATGTAAACTATCTTGATAAGCTTGATTTTAATTTTGATTCAAGGGATTGTAAAGCTTAGTCTTGAATCTCTTTCTTAAGCTTAAATTTGGATTTGATCACGAACAAGTAATTTGATCTTGAACGCTTTGGTATTTGATTTGGCTTCGTTCTTGATCTTGAACTTGAACTTGTAGCTTGAGTGCTTGAACTTCTAGCCTGTAGAGAAATCTGCGGTGTTTGATCCACGAGCTCTCTGCTTGCTTCTTGTTATTACTTCTGATGTCTTCTAGCTTTATGAAAACCTCTATTTATAGTTGTAGGGAATGGTGTGGCTCTGCGATTTGATTGGTCCGTTTGAACTGACCAATACCATCTAGACACTTGGCATGATTTAATTGGCTCATTTATTCGGCTTGGATTGCCACGTCACTTGACACGTCGCATGATTTTATTGGCTTATTCTTTTAACTTGGATAATCACATCACTTGACATGTGGCATGAGCCTGAGCTTTAAGATGGGCTAATAACCAATTGGACCTTGGGCTACCGAAGTGGGCTTATCATTTAATTTATAGTACAATTAAATGGACTAGCTCAACACATATATTGGATTTAAATAATTAGCCCAATTTACTAGCCATAATATTTGTTTGGACTAATGTCTTGAATTTAATATGGTCCAAATTACTTTATGGATTTAAATCCGATAAAATTTAAATACTTACCCATATATACATAGACATAACAAACAAAATTTTGATATAATGAGGCCTCGTTATATAAAAAAAATTCCATTGAGGAACATTACGTCAACCAAAATATGTATATACGCCTCAAAGCGAATTTTAGTTCTACGAATTTAAGATTAGAGTTCAACAACTAAATTCATCACCATGTTTGAGTTTTATGTTTTTTATTCAATATTTTTAGCAATTTCAATAGATTTTATCCAAATAAATTCAGGTTTTAAGCTAAAAATTATATATAGATTCCAATGAACCCATATTCACACTATTAATTCCACCCCTGATACACCCACAAAGGTCAGTATGGAAACTTTAGGAGTATTAAAGTAATTCTTACATTACTCCATATTATAACGATGAGATAAGATAAGACGTTTTAATATTCAAGAGAATTCGATACCTTATCAATTGCCCCTACTTATACAAAGTATGTTGAATGAATTTACTTTTAGCCTCTTTTATTGCCTGGTCATTCGAATATCACATCTCACAAAATGACTGATTATTATTACAATATGGACAGTTAAATCATTGATGTTGCTAATATATCTTTATGTATTTCGGTTATTAACCTTCCGTTTAATAACTCTAACGGACTTACTATGATCATTCGTCCATGCTTTTGGATTCTTCTTTAATCTATCATATAGAATAGAAGTATCATTGACCAAATCCTTTATAAAAGGAGAAATATAGTTTAAGCTTCCTAAAAATCTCTGAAGCTGAGTTTTATCAGTTATAATGTCGGGGAATTTAGAAGCAAATTTAATACTTCTTTGGATATGAATTATTTTTTCTTTCTCAATATTATGACCTAAAAATCTTATTTTAGGTTGGAAGAGAGACATCTTAGGTTTAGAAATTACTAAACCGTTATGTATAATAATTTTTTTAAAAAGATCTAGATGTCTAAAATGTATTTCTAAGTTTTTAGAAAATACAAGAATATCATCAATATACACTATTATAAAATCATTGTATGATATGAAAATATAATTCATGTATTAAAGTAATTCTTACATTACTCCATATTATAACGATGGAATGAGATAAGATGTTTTAATATTCAAGAGAATTTGATACCTTATGAGTTGCCCCTACTTATATAAAGTATATTGAATGAATTTACCTTTAGCCTCTTTTATTGCATGTTCATTCGAATATCATATCTTACAAAATGACTGATTATTATTACAATAGGGACAATTAAATCATTGATCTTGCTAATATCTTTATGTATTTTACTTCATTTGCTATAATATGATTAAAGTAGGACAATTATCTTTCTTCTGATTGCAATATTTAAATTTCTCCAAATGTTTTATATTCAAGCACCAATTGACATAGCAAAAGAAGACATTTCTAAAATCTATGGGTTAAAGAGAGCAATTTTGACTTCTTCAGAAATGCAGATGGGACTTCGTTACGTGAATGAATACTTAAGGGGGTGATATTGAAATAAACGTTCTTAAATTAGGATGAAAGTGTTTAATATTTGTACTTTGGGATCCAAAACGGTATTTATTGCTTTTTACGTGTGTCCCTCATCGGAAATAGAACAATCTCTTCTGCTCGTTAAAAACCCTAACGTAACAGCCCTTGGGGACATCCGATAAAATTGGAACGATACAGAGAAGATTAGCATGGCTCCTGCGCAAGGATGACACGCACAAATCGAGATTTTTTTGCGTTTTCCTCGTCTCTCTTTTATTTTCTGTTTCCCCGGTCCCAAATTTCTTTTGCCGGTCGTCGCTGGTCACGAGATTTCTTACGGTTCGTGAACTACTTGAAGTTTTCCTCGTCTCTCTTTTATTTTCTGTTTCCACAAATTTAGCTGGCGGCATTATGCCTGTGTGTAATTTTTAGGATGAAAAGGACCTTATACTTGAATTTCTTCATTTGCTTACCTTAGAATGGTTGTATTTTGTTCTACGAGGAAGAAAATTGCTTGTTTTGTTTTGTTCCTGTAATTTTTGCAGCTTGTAATAAACGAGCGTGGGTGAAAGTTTGAAGCTTCATACCGCGTGTGCTTTTTGGGTGTTTGATAAAATGCCAGAAATTTTTCAACACAGGCGTTACATTTTGAATTTTCCCATCTTCAATTGTCTATTAAATGAAAAGAGCGGGCCAATTTTAGAACCAAGCTTCCAGATAAATATTTTTCTTATAGTTTGGATGCTAAAAGAATTAGGTTGACATTGAAAGAGAAGTTCACCTCATAAAAATTTGGATATTAGGTAATCAATTTTCTATCCCGAGCTTCAATGAATCTTCTTTCATAAGGGAAAGTGATTATTGATAACACTTGAAAAGTTTTATACTAATAACTTTTAGGGTGACACTTGAGGAAAGTGATTGGATTTATTTGAATTTGTTATTCCAGTATGATTATATTATATTTGACATATTCCAAAGACGTTAGTTTGATTTCTGGGACTCTATATTCTGTTGAAGTGACTTTGGATGTGATTATAATCTAGCAGCATATGGCAGTTGGCGTTTGAGGGTGTATTTGCAACATATGGAGTTGCAAAATCCATGATATATTCCTAAGAAGAGGTCTGCTTATGAACCCCTAAGGACTTTAGCAGCAAGAGTTTTCGATTGAAGGATCATTCAACTGCTAAAGATTATTAATACCCTCTTCTACATCAAATTTTGCATGAAAGTTAAATATGAGATCAGAAATAAGATCTGAGAAGATGTAATGGAGTTACAATATTCTATATTTCTATTTGATCTGGAATTTTAATTATTATACATCATTTTTTCCTTCCAAGGAGACCATCGGGCTATGTTTCCATTTGCCGACCTCTATCTCAATCAAAATATAAGAAGCAAATTACCTGGCGTCTGCTCTCATGGTTTGCCCTTTGTTAATAAGGTTCCTCAACCCCAACTGAAACCATTTAAGTCAAATTGCTTACAACTTGAAGCTGCATCTGTTTCATCATGTATGTTTAGGTCCAGTTTAGGTGCAAAGTAAGACAACTTATACTCTTGTGAAGACTTCTGCCTCTCTTGCATTGAATCGCCTCTGTTGGCAGCCTGGTGAAAATGTCTGACGGCTGTGTTTGTTTCATTGAATTTCCCATCTGAATGGTTACTGCTTCCGTCCAAGTTTCCATCTTGAAGTCCGATACTCATTGATAAGTTCTTGCAGTTCGTCTCTGTGGTGAATGCTTTTTCTTTACCCTCATCGATTGCAGAGAATAATTTTCTATTCTCCTTGAGGTTGTCACACCATCTTAGTCCTGTCTGTTGTATCCTGGTGTCATTCTCAATATCCTTACATTCTATAGATGGTGTAAATTCGAAAGGCCTCAATCCAATTTGGTTATTATGCATAGTGTTGTCCCTCAAAGAGCCTTCACAAGAGGTCAAGCAGCTATCGATTGAACGATCTGCTAGTTGGGTAGTTTGTGTTTGTTGGCTGCTAAATCCTGATATTTCTTGTATATCAGAAAATGTAGGGTTCAGGCATTGGTTAGATACTGTGGATACCAATTCTGATAGTTGGATCTTGGCTGCCTCTAATCCTACTGTTCCCATGTCTTGTCTTCCAAGGGTTTCCTGTGCTTTCTCGAGCACGGCATGCAAATATTTTCCTTGAGCTTCTATCCGTAACTGTAAATGTCGTTGTACCTATATCAGTTCAATTAGGCCTCATTTAGAAGCCGTCAAGGAAAAATTTTCTTCGAAGTTTGACAAGAAAAAACACCCTATGCATGTCTAGATTAGATTCTTAATTCTTGAAACAGAACACATGGACTGGGCCTGTTCACTAGATTATTGAAGATATCCAGCTGCTTATCTTGAAGGTGAAAGTGCCTTCTATCAAGTTTCAATACTCTCATGCTTGTGGCTTTCAGATCATCAACCAGGAAGTCTCAAATTTTACTACAAGTATTTTTGGCATAGGCTTTGCTCTCACTTCTCATACGTAAGAGAAATTCTGCAGTAATGTCATACCTCAAGCTGCTCATGAAGCCTTCTCTGCACTTCTATTTGGATTTGTATTGCTTCACTTATTTGAATGTTTCTGAATGGATAACTTTTTGTCAGAATAATCAAAAAATGAAGATTTTGCTAAGACATGAAATAGAAGGATGAATGGTTTAAATGAAGGATCAAATGTTGTTTGTTCTTACTTGTTTGGCTGGGGTCCGATGCTTGGATTGCTCATGCAAGTTGCGCTATTCTCAGATATCCTATCTTCTCCTGCTGCTGTAACCATTCCACAAAGTCAGTAAGTTTTCGGATGTTATCTCTCCGTAAACGAAGTTTTGTGAACTATTTTCTTGGGTATGTATTTGATTTCTTACCAACTTTATTGGCCCCACTAGCATTTGCTTGTCCATGGAGATTCTTACTTAGTCTGTATTTCTGCCAGCATTTTTGTAAAGCGTTAGTTTCTGGCCAATCTAAAAGTATCAAAAAATTGTCAGAAATATTCTTCAGTCTTATGGATGTAAAGAAAAACAAAGGGCTATATTTCTCTGCATTTTTGCCAGCCCAGGTACAAAGTTTTGATCAGTTTTCCTTCACACTATAAAAGTACATATATGGCAGCTGCTTAAATGAAACAATTTGAAAATTCTTTGCAGTTGATGCAAAAGATGCTTTTCCCCTCTTACCACCAGTTGTTTTGTTTGGAACTATTGCCTTGGTAGCTAAACTTCAACGCCGAATATGTCCCTCATAGAATGTCTTGTTTATGCATGGATTTTGTAATGCCATAAAGCAAATAAGAACGAACCTGAAGATGGCTCTTTAAGTGGTACAAGGTTAATCCTTGGATCCCCATAAGCTTTAGAACTGATTTTGGCGTGGCTTCTGCAATAGAAGAATAGTGCAGTTAATTATCTTCACGAAATAACATCTTCCTGGTGCGTCTTGAAATTGGTATATTTGTGTGCACTTACTGTCTGCTCCACCAAGTTGATTAACGGCTTCTATAAACCTCTCATGGAGGTCTGGTGTCCATTTCAATCTTGGCTTGGCATCAGTTGACAGGACAAGCCCTGAATCCCCGTTGCCGTTTCCACCTTGCAGGAACAGATGCCTTTCAGAGATAGACATTCTTGTTGAAGGGTGCATGCTCTTATCCTGGTGGTGATGATGGTACATCTTCTGGCCTTCTGTATGATGATTAGCAATTAAGTCTCGTGGTGCGAGTTAATAGGCACGATATAAGTAATTCAACTAATTATAACGTACCTGAAAGTGATCTGCTGTACTTGGTTTCAGTCTAGTCTTACCCTTTAGATGCAAATCATGATTCTTCTGTATTATTCTTCAGAGAACAATTCTGCTTCTGATACTCAGTTCAAACTGCACTACTGCTCTTATCTATCTCCTTTGTTGTACAACTTCACAGACCAAAGATGTATCCAAAGAGCTCTTATAAGCGAATGGGGTGAGAAAGAGAGAGGGAGTCTAGGTGAAGCATAGAATCTTGGACAGGGCCAGTTGAACGCTAGAACCAATCGAATCTTCACAGCCGGCTCAGAAAGAGATCTCATCTTTCCAGTTTTACATATCTGTGGGCCCTAGCATGATATTCCGCTGCACTATAACTTGCTTGAAACACTTCACACCTTACAATGGGTACAAGAATTTATCCACCAGAGACTTTTATGTTCTCATATTCTTTATCTGGCAAAGTTTGGGAACCATATTCCCAGAATTAAATTTGGAATTTTTTTCTGATATAGACTGAAAGTATCCACTATTGAATGATGTATGACCTCTTGAAAACTTCAAAACCATTTTCCCTTTCAAATGGAAGATTCTGTTGACCAGAGCTTCAAGTACTTTGTATTGGATAAAAAAAACAAAGCAAAGAGATAGGGAAATGGTTGAGAGATGCTTCAATTATTTCATGTCAAAATAAAAAGACTAATACATTTCTTTCTATAAACCTCTGTTAGTTTACTATGGCCATGTTAAGAATTTGTTGAGGCAGCATTTCCTATATGCATGTTTTATTCTATTATATTGGCTATACTCTGCCTTGGGTAAAAAGAATTTAATGATTTTAGATGAGACTTTCATGCAATATCTTGCTCCTGTTCCTGTATTTAGTGATATGAACTTTTGGAATATCTTGAGCATTATTTTCAGTCTATGCTATTTTAATATATCATGTTTGAGTAACTAAAAAGGAATACGATAAAAAGGTAAAAAAATTGTGGAGAGATGCTTCTCCTTGGCTTTGTTTGAAGGCCAGGAATATTGGAATAAGGAACAAATACCTTTTTGTCTCCTTCAGTAAGTTTGGTACTTATTCGGCCTGGATATATAGAACTAAAATAGAGGGAGACCTCCAGTACGTTAGATATTTCCTATTCTTTAATTGGTGTAAGACAGCCATCTCCAAGGCATTGGGACCCCTTTGAAAGGAGAAATAAAGTGATATTACTTGCTTCCGTAGTCGCCTGATGGAAAACATGTCAACTCATTTGCTCGAAGATGACTACTTGCCTTTCCCTTGACTTGAGCCTTAATTTGCTCTAGAGAATATAAATAGTTACTTTACATTCTTTTGTGCCCGTTTATTTTTAATAAACATGTATAGATACCTGTCAGTTTTCTGTCATAGTTTATTGTGACACAAACTTGAGATCTCTATTTATCGCCTTGCTAATTCAATTTCTAGTTCACTTATAAAAACTAAAACACCATAGATTTGTGCTCATTTGTTTCTTCCTTTTTTTTCCTTTTTTTTTTTGCATTTTTCTGTGGAGGGAAAACTAGGGAATTTAAACTTAGTTGTTTATGAAATGCTTAGTATCTTTTGCACCTTTTCCTTGTTAACATTGCAATGATACATCTAAACTGCTGTATTTTTGTATTGGTCAGCAAGTTCAACAAATCACGATTGCATAGTTAGGAAATGACTCTTGGTATCAAAAATATATCTTTTGGATAAATTTCAGGGGTTTGTAAGACTGTTTGTTATCTAAGTTTAATTATTTTCCATCTTGATATGAAATAAGTGAAAATTCCTCATCTCTGAACAAGGTATGCACATCAGTTGTCAGTTGAACTTTCAAGAAAAAGATCAACTGATTCTGATATCTTAGGGTATTTTATGCGCTTTGGAGGAATATATTACAACCTTTAGGTAAAGTGGTATAGGTATAAAGCAGAGTTCCCTTATACTGTTTTGCTGGCACGTGGATAGGAATGAAATGAGGATGTGCATTGTTAGCTGTATGAGTTGCATTGGACTATTATATTGTACTAAAATCAATAGATTTATGGAGTTAAATTTTTTTTTTGTTAGGTTCAACCATATGATATCCGGAACCCATTAGCTCATCTAATCCAAATGTGCGTAGCAGAGACCCATTTAAGGGAGAAGTGCTCCCTACCGGAAATTTCTTCGTTCACAAGGTTTGAACCCGAGACTTCTTGTTATAGTATTTATCTGACCTAACTGTCTTGTTATAGTGTTGTTCATCTGATCAAACTGTCTTTAACAATTGTTTGTCTTTCTTTTGTCATTCTCAGTTTCCCTTCTGTTATGGTAAAGTAGATTTTCTAATTGATGATGTGCAAGATCTAGTAGTTGCTTTATGTTTCTATATCAAACTATGAATAATATTTCATCTTTTTATTTTACAGAAAGGTAGTTGGCTGAGGATGAAATTTAAGATATTAGTTTAACTTATATGTATGATGTTAGTGATGATGGAATCAATACTAAAAGTTACAAGTTGATAAGCTAGTTTGATTTTAAAAAAATGCAAAAAAAAGAAAAGAACATTAAAATGGAGTAACTTTATATATATGAATTTTTGAAAGCTGTGAGTTTTATAGAAATGGAAGGATGACAAACATTTCAAAGCATTCTAAATTTTTTTATTTTTAAAAATATATAAAATTGGAACAGAAGAAGTATAAACATGCAATAGCATTCATTTTATGCCTCTCTGAATAACCCAAATAATCTTTTCTAGTAATGGTACATTAAAAGTACTTAATTTGCTTTTCCGTGATGTTGCCATAAAGCAATGACTGCTGTTCCTCTGTTTTGTAAGACATGCAGAAGAACCCTTTGCCTTTGCTATTCCAATCTATCTTCTTCCTCGTCTCTTTTGTTGCTTTCTTTATTCTATTTTCATGATATATTCTCCACTTTAAAGAAGAGAACATGTGCTGTTGTTCTTTCTTGTACTTGCATTTCCTTTTTAAAGCTCTTAGATTTAGTTAATTTTACTTTAAAGTACAAGATGAATCTCACATTAAAAAAATAAAAATAAAGAAATAGAGCATTTCGAATCATCTTAGGGAGGCAATGGTGGGAGAGTTCGTCAATGCCTGATCTGTAGTGTAGTGTACGCAGAATTTTGTGTGAGCAATGCCTGACTTATTATCAACTCAGCTTATATTTGAGTTAGGATTTGGAGTTGTAGATCTTCAAAGAATTTATTCATTGTCCCAAATTAATGTTGATCTATAATATATAATTATGTGTTTGAATTTTTTTCGATGAAGCGGTGTCGGATAACGCTCTCGTACAAGGGTATCTCTGCCACTGTGCATGATTAGTAAAGACGCACAGCTCGAATTGGTGCCTGCTTGTTGACCCCAGGGTGAAGACACTGGCTTAAAATAAAAGGAAATCAATGACCACGGAATGATATTCCTTATGGGGAAAAGGACTTGGGGTTCAGGATAAAAGTCAGATTCTGGGGAATGGAATTTCAGAATCTTAACTCAAACCCAAAGCAATGGACGTATTCTCAAGTCAAGAATTTCTTTGTTATTCTTTTCCTTTTCTAGGCCACGGAAAATGGATTCCGAACCCCATTATTCTTTTACCCTTTTAAGCTTCTTAACAACTTAAGTAATTCTGAACGATCAACATGCATATGATTTGTTTTCTTTCTCCTTCTGTGGACTCTCACCTGTATAATACCAATAGAGTTTAATTTATAATATGTCATCAATATAGATTTTTTTTTACACTAACAGGTCATCCAAAGGATATCATAGGTAAAACTGTTTAAAATATGAGATTTGTAGTCTTGAAAATAAGATAGGTTTTCTCCTATCTTCTTCAAGATTACATTCCAGTTGTGAACATATATGACATCAAAGACAAAGAGAGACACATCAAGATATAATGACACAACTTGTTTTTTTGGGTGGGGATTGGGGGGGG